AGCTCCGCAGCTCCTCACATGAAGAGGGTATCAGTAACTGAGCTGAAGAGCTAGTTCAGGAACAAATGCCACTGATATATTATCTTCCTTCACAGGTTGATATTTATCACACTTGTGAGACACCGACTCCAGGGTGACACAGACAAAAGGCTGCTTTTTTTTCTCCTTTAGTGATTCTTTCGAAATAAAAGTACTTGTGATGAATATTCTCCAGATTTTTTACGACATCTTTTACAGGCTAATCAAAGTGTGGTTATTCCACTTATTTAGCTCATTTGACTTGGTTTCTTGGTTACTTACCGTGCTAATTCTGTAAAGTACATTTGGTCCTTGTGCGTTTAATACTTACATATTACTATTTCTAGTAAAAGTGGTAGAAAGGTTAGCTCATTTGTGATGAAGATTATCAGCGGAGTATGCAGGAACTTTAAGAATAAATTAGAAATGATCCAACATCCAGTTTGCAGGTAGTAGTAAATGGTGTTGTATGTGTCGGCAGTGATGCTGCCTTCAGCTTATACGTTTTTCATCATTTTTTCCAGAAATATTTCTGTCAAAATGTTGGACTCTGAGTCTTCACTGGGGTTACTGAAACCAAAATAAAATTATGTTCTATGATAGACTGAGGCAGAGGGCAGAGAAGCCTGTGGTAGTTTTTTATAGTATACATACAGTAGCTTAACAGTACCTCAGTCTATGTGTTATACAGTTTGGGACAAATGGTCATAGAAAAGATTAAATGAAAAAAAAAATTTGATTAGATTAGACTAAAATGAGATTTTTTTTTATCTTCTCTCCAATTTTCGGAGGCTTTCCTAGCCGTCCCTGACATTCCTGACTTTGAAAACCACTGGATTAATGAACCAACAACTTAGACTTATGTCCTGTCCTCACTAGTTTCAAATCGAAATATATGTCTCAAGTTCAAGTTCATTTTATATCATTATTCCAGTGACTTTATAACATAAATGGCTTAAGGTGGTTGTAGGTTGTGTACATGTTCTGACCCAGGTTTGTGGGATTGAGTCCAGACTTGGTTGTGTACAGCACATGTTGTACTCTTTGCTGCAGGTTCAAGGCAAATAGTGCTAAGACTAAACAAACTCTAAAAAGATACAAACCATACCGACCATTTACTTTCCCAGCAGCCCTTGCAGGAGAGCAAGCAGAAACATTTAGGCTGGGTGTTTGTAAATAATGAGAAATGTTGTTTATTCAATGTAGCACCACCAACTAAATACATCTCACCACTTATCAGAGAGAGCCTCACACCCAGGTTTCTACAGCAGAAACACTGGGCTAAATAATGTCATGTGTGTTTTACACTGCCAGTGTTTTAATGTTGGTCTCACAGATTTAAAAAACACCCAGAGCTATTTGTTCTGGCAAGCAGCATTCTCTTTTCTGCCTTTTTTATTTATTTTTTTACAAATGGCTTACAGGACAAAGAAGCGGGAGAAAATGTAATTCTGTCTCTGCACTGGTGGAATAAAAAATGCTGTAATACATTTGCAAGATTATGTAAAAACCTCCGCGGCCCTTGATGTCTTTAAAAATCTCATTGCTCTGAATTGTGGGATGTTAACAGCAGTAAACAGATGCAGGGAGTTAGCGGACGAGGAAGCATTTTCATAAATAACAGCCTCTCCTGACGTGCGTGTGTCTTTAACGCTCGATAAATCACAGCTCCCTGCTGCCGCCGCTGGCACAGGGACCGCAGCTGTTAGCGGCGTCTCTGCCTCGGCCTGCCTCTCTGATGCTGCCTCTGTTTGTTTACTCAGCCCTTTTCTGTGTTTGCTTGCCCCCAACACAGCCTGGCATCAGTCATCCGGGGTCAGGTCCTCACGGGAGACGGGACACCGCTGATTGGAGTCAACGTGTCTTTCCTGCACTACCCGGAGTACGGGCACACCGTCACCCGCCAGGACGGCATGTAAGAGAGACACCCTCTGTATGTTTGTGTACACATGCTGTATCTGCAGTCATGGCATCTCATTAATGTATGAGCGCCAGGGCTCGGAAAGACAGGCAGGTGCTGGAAAAACTATGATCATTCATCAAAGGTCTACAAAAAAAGTAAGAGACAGAGACAGTGTCCAACAGTTGGAACAGCTTTTAAAAAGTATGTGTAATGTGAAACTTAAAGTTAGAAAAATCAAACAACACACACCAAAAGTAATGAAATAATAATAAAAGGTGCCGAAGAATATAGGACAAAAATTGTTAAAGCAAAGAGGCAATTAAACACCCCAGAAACTCTAAATAAAAAATAATAAATAATAAATCTAGAGAAATCTAACCATAATTTAGCACAACTCCCCAGTGATTAATCAAATTTAAAAATGTTATGGTTTCACTGCCCAATTATGTATATTTATATGATCTAATTCAGCAGTTTAACAGTGATAGTAGCACTTACCCTAAACTCACTGACAGTAACTAGAAACAGCAGCAGCACGTTCTGCCTTTAAACAATCCCTCATGCAAATGTCCGAGTGGCGGAGGCACAAGCTGTTTAAAATGCATTGAATCAGTGAGGGCTGAATCAATCTGCCTGCGCTGTAGTAAAACACGGGATTATTGTCCGACCTTCTTCTGCTATTACCACAGACGGCTCCTCAATAATGGCACCGCAAACACACGCGAGACAAACCCCTGTCACATATTTCAGATAGAGCTGAATGTTCCACCGTGGAGCTGGACTTAAATCAAAGGTTGTTCAGATGTGGTACGAAGCCCAATCTTCAGTTGATCAGATACATGAGGATCAGATGATTTCTTTAGATATTCCGTCTGATAACTCCTTTGACAAGTCTGATAGATGGTCAGGGATAATAACACAGCGTTCACCAGCGGCTCTGTACAGAGGAAACATCAAAGCTCTGCCTGGTCAAAGGGGAGAGCGCTCCAGAAAAGGAAACAGTTTAGTGTCAGCTTGAAAATACAACAGCGTAAAGCTAATTATGAAACCAGAAATGACTACAAGTTATTTAGCATCTTACAAAGTAGTCAAAGTATACACAATATGTCTAAAGGATAACAGCATAACCTTTTTTTAAAAAAGTCGAGCTAATACATGACTAATGGAAGCCATTTTATTTATAGTTAGCCAAAATTGGTCAAATTTAGCCCACTTAATGAAAATCAGAACAGCTTTTATCTAGAATTTATCCCTAAAGCCATTCTCAGTTAACTGGAGCTAAGCCAGAATAAGCTAAAAGTTAGCCAAATTGCTGAAGCAATTGGATCACTAATAATGTGGCCACATAATTTCCCAGAATATAATTACAAATCAGGCTCAGGTCAACGTTCCTAAAGTCTACCTGAGCAAACGGATTTTAGCCCACAAATGACTACAATGTGAACTTGGCAGGAACAGCAGTCTGTTCAGCTCGTGGTACAAAGCCCCCTCCTCCAGTCCATCAGATATGTGAGGATTAGCTGATTTCTTCAGATATTCTGTCTGATAACTCCTCTGACAAGTCTGATAAATGGTCAGGGATAATCGCACTGTACGGAGGGAACGTCTCAGCCCACAGAGGAGGGAGTTGGAGAAAAGGAAGCTGTTTAAGGTCAGCTGAGCAAATTTGATCATTGCAAAGATAAGAAAAGAAAATACAACAACTACTAAAGATTAGGAAAAAGAAGTCAGCGTGAATTTGTTCGAAAGGTATTTAACACATTTAAAAAATGACCCGACTTTGCTTGAAGATAGTCAAGAATTTAGCCACAAAATTAAAGGTTATCTTGAATCGATAACATAATTCAAAAATAGTAAATATATATATATCAAAAAAGTCGATCAATAGTCAGAAATAGTCAAAAAAATTAAAACTTACAAGCAATTGCATATGCCATAGTAGCTTTGTATACCAAAAACATCTAAAAATGTGCAAAAAGAAGTATGAATATATTAATGATAGCGTTTTTAAATATTTATTTTTAGTTGTTTTCTTTTCTTAAAGCTAACATATACCATTTTATTGCATTTTATAATACTATTTAAATTCTATCATTAAGTTTAAGCTATTTTGATATTAGTTAATCAGGTTTTACTTTTATTCTTTTATTGATATTTTGGCTACTTTTATTCATGTATATTTATATTTTTAACCCCCCCACCATTATTAAATCTACCCCATTGAAAAGTTCTCGGCAGCCTGGTTTAGTCAGTGAAATTCAAATAAAGCTGATGTGAGGGAATATTTCTATGTTAAAACCTGACAAAGCGGTCGCAGACACTCACGCGTAAGAGCAGCTATTCAGACAGTGAGCTTATTAAGAAGACTGGGAATTATACAATTACAGCATGTAAAAGAAGTGGATGTTCACAGAACTGTAGTTAAAACAGAGGGAAAGTGGGTCAAAGGCAATTTGGGGAGACGCTTTGTGAACTTTGACGAGGATTTCATTGAAACTTCCTACAACTTTTTGAATACTTTCAGCTTTTTTTGGCCCCACGGGACTTCTCTTAAACAGAGCTGCCACATTAACACACCCACGTCTGCAATTAACTCCCATTACATTGTCTGTTATCACTGATTAAGAGTTGTTTCTAGGGCCTCAAATACTGTAGTTCTAATGATTTATGTATGAATTATTTAACTTGTCTTTAAAGAAAAACAGTCCATAATATTAATATAATTATTTCAATATATGAAAGCCTTTTCTCCAGCAGAACATGGTTCATTCTCTCTGTGGAGCTTCCACACATTACTATCATCCACGGAGAGTAATTTCTGACTTTTGCTCAACCTGCCGTAGCCGACACTTTTCTGGCTGGATTTGGTTCAGGGTCTGGAGTCGAGGGAGTTTTTTCTGGTGAAATGGTTTTAATTAGTACAATGTTAGTCAGACAAAGGGCAGTGGTTTGGAAATGAAGGGTGAGTCTTTATATACTGTGTGAAAATCAGCAGAGCCAGAGGCTAAAGCATCTGTGTGCTGGTGACAGTGCATTAACTTCACTCACACACACACACACACACACACACACACACACACACACACACACACCAAACATAATTTAAGGGGCTAATGCACCACAAATAACACACACAGCTTTTTTTAGATATTTGTTAACGTCAACCATTTGGTGCGGGTCCTAAGTGTGGGAGTGACAAAGATCGAGATTAGGTTTTTGTCGACATAAAAAAGAGGCCATTTAAGGAATGGCTGACACGTTTCAAGGGAAGACCAAAGAATATCCTAAAATCAGTTAAAAGATTCTTCCAAAACACTAGTTAAACATAACACCTATTGGCTACAGTTAACCTTAGCCAGGTGCTAAAAGTTAACAATGGATAGCAAACGCAGGTAAAGTGGGAGGAGTTAGCAAAATGTAATGAGAAATTATAACATTTTGGCAGAAATGACCTTAATTGTACCGATTGTATCAGAAAAGAACAGCTATAAATGAGCTAAATTTTATATTAAGCTTTTTGTCTTAGAAAAATATATTCTTTTGAACACTGCCCTCAGGTTTGACCTTTTGGCCAACGGTGGTGCTTCTTTGACCCTGAGTTACGAGCGTGCTCCTTTTCCCACACTGCACCGCACCGTGTGGCTGCCCTGGAACGTCTACCATGTGATGGACACGGTGGTGATGAAGCGGGAAGAGAACGACATTCCCAGCTGTTACCTGACTGGGTTACTCAGACCCAACCCCTTAATTGTATCAACGCCCCTCTCCACTCTGTACAAGACCTCACCTGAAGACAATCCCATCATCCCAGAGACACAGGTGAGACCGAGTGTCACCTCGGGACACGACATGATACATGTTAATCTTTATTTCAAATTTTCTCCTTCGGAATGAATGGCTTCCCAACATTGGGAGCTGCACTGTGGAAAACAGAATGTTAAAGTGTAAAGATAACAGTTTATCTTCTTTTCAACACAGCTTTGCTCTTGTTTTTGCCTGCGAGCGTTGATTTAAATTATCTCCCAGTATACTGTACTAAGCAGTAACTGTCTCACAGCTCCACAGATTAATTCTTAAGACATGTGGTGTGGTAAATACACGCCTCAGGATTTGGTCTGTATCCATCTCCACTGTCTTAAAATCCTAGTTTAAATAAAAGTCCATATGTTGTTTTGGTTTCTTCGCAGAACAGTTTGAAGTCCTGCAGTCAAAAGCAAACAGAAATGACTATTCTTTTGGTTGATAAACATTTAAAGACTAACTAAACTAAATATTTCAAAAATTACAACCTAAATATGATGTGGTTTAAGCAAAAAAAACAAAAAACAGGAGTCAGAAACGATCACAGGCTTAACTACTGTCGATAAATCTAAAGATAAAAAAGAAATCAGTCTGCGCTCCTCTTTTGATCATTTATACCAGTACAACTTTCACAGAAGCTCCTCTCTTGTTGCCTGTGTTACTGTGTGGTGTACACTTCACACTGTGTGTGTACTTGGCACCAGTCTGACTGCTAATTAAAACCATCAGGTCCTTCACGAGCAAGTGGCCATACCAGGCAGTGACCTCAACCTGGTCTACCTGAGCTCCAGGGCCGCTGGCTACAAGCCCATCCTGAAGGTGCTGCTGACCCAGGAGCGCCTGCCCTTTGGCCTGATGAAGGTGCACCTGATGGTGGCCGTCATGGGCCGTCAGTTCCAGAAGTCCTTCCCTGCGTTCCCCGACCTCTCCTACACCTTCATCTGGGATAAAACAGACGCCTACAATCAGAAGGTCTTTGGCCTGGCAGAGGCTGTGGGTGAGTTTCCCACTGTGAAGACATGTTGCATTGCAGATGTACAGTAGATCAGAAACCAGATCAGATACACCCGCACCAGCTCCAGGCAGTGAACCTGAGCTGAACTTTCACTGAGAGTTTCACGTGTCAACGATAAAGCACCAGGTGACTACTTCACTGTCCAATAGGAGCCTGATGACATCACAACACTCAGTGTACAGTGTACATTTACAATACAATTGGCACCGGCTGCAAGGCTCCTTTTGAATGTTACTGTGTTGAAATTTGAGTTTACTTTTAGGGTAAATTCTATTAAAATGTAACCTAAATATTTCATTCTTTTCCAAGAAGGAAGCCAACAAAAGGTCATCCAGTTCTGACTGGTTCACCTTAAAACCATAGACTGCAACCAAATAGTTCATATTTTATGTTTGTCCAGAACAGTGAATATTTAAAGACTACACTGATAAAAGTGAATTTAGAATGATGGCTCCATCTGAGAAAAAAAATCAAAAATAGTTGGAAAATAGTGAGATAATATTGACTATTTCTTTGTCAATGTAAACCAAATATTTCTGTGCCCATGAACAAAAAAATATTATATTTATTTCTAAGAAGGAGCTTCATCGGCTTCCATATATTTTAGCTGATTTAGGTTTTTGTGAAGACATTTCCATTATTTCCAAGAGGCTTGTAAAATTCTAACTGACTTCGAAAAAAAAAAACCCTGAAAATATCTATTTCCAAGAGGCTTCGAAAAAAAAAAACCCTGAAAATATCATTTGAATACCTGAATGGAAGAGTCGTTATGTTAAAACAAAGCAGGTCCACACCCTGCGACATTCACAGGATGTTGTCTTCACCTGGGCCGGGGTGTTGATGGGGTCGTATGACCTAACTGAGGTGTGAACTTGACCAAGATTTCCAGCCACTAGTTAGTGTACCAGCCAGTAGAAGTGTCATGCACAAGAGGTCGTTCACCTACTTTTATATTCAGTGGCTAAAAAGTCATAAATTTCTGAGAACTTGACAGTCTGGTACATCCCTGGGGAGAAGATGCTGTGCGAAGTACAGGATGACAAATACCAAAAAGTGCCAAAACCAATTAAAAAGACTGGCTTCCTGCAGGGTTTACAAATTGCCTCCATAAGATGTTTTTTTCCCCTATATTTCCCTGAAACACAAGTGTTAACCTCACCAAATGTGGTGAGCGTACTGCAAACTGTTTTCTCAGTCTGAGTTCCATCATCGCTGCCATTTTTCTACAACCATGGCAGCAAAACCAGAAAAATGACATTTGTGAATTTTTGGCACTTTTTAGTGCACGTTCAAGGTCCTAAATTATAATCTCGTGCAGTTTCTTATCAGCTTTTATTTTATTATTCCCTTGTCATTCAATTAAATTGAATCTTACATTATTGAATAACTCACTCATCTGTTTTAAATAATTCAAACTAATAACTCAAGAGTCATCTCTGGGATTACAGTGCATCGGGGTTCTGCCGGTGCTTATATACAGTGATACTTGCATTTTAATAGCGCACTCAACATTTTTCACCGTCTGAGAGTCTGCGGGATTGTGAACATTAAAGCACTAGAGATTATGAATTACAGAGGAATAAAAAACCTCACGACCTTGACAGAATAACAGGATTTTTTTTTTCATGGCTGTCTCTGTTGTAACTATATCACAGCCTTATTATATTTACCATAACACTCTCCATCGGAGCTTTTATTGTCTGAATAATTCACGCCACTTTGCACAACCCTCCCTATTTGTGCTTTATTTGCATTTACACAATATAAAACAGACAAATGAGTGGAGAACACATAAAATACAGACTGCGCAGGTGAGACGCACAAACCCCCATGGGCCTTTTAAAATCATCCCAGCTGGAGAAAATTACAGAGTCAATGAGAACAGCAGAATAAGCACATACTGGGAGCGGCCCCCAACGTGCGCTGACTGGTTTATGTGCGGTCTATAAGCAGGGAGCTGCAGTAAGGGTCAGGTACGCAGGTCATAACCGTGCTGATCACAGGCCTCTGCTGTCGTTAACTTCAGTGTCTGTGGGATATGAGTACGAGTCCTGCCTGGATGTCGTGCTGTGGGAGAAGAGGACGGCCACGCTGCAGGGATTTGAGCTTGACGCTTCCACCATGGGAGGATGGACGTTGGACAAACACCACATACTGGATATTCAGAATGGTAGGAAACATATTTTATATATTACACACCAGAGGTCTTCAACAACAGAGGCACAGAGCCGATCATTTAAGTTGTTTTAAAGTGGGCTTACTTTATTTTTATTAGTCTTCCGGGTATTTTATTTTATTTATAATTTTTTATTTTATATAGGGTATTTTATTTTGAAAAGTTGCAAAATTCCAATTTGGCGTTAACACCAGAATATTTCCCCAATTCCACCTCCCACTGTAATTGAACTATATGTTAGATTAATAAATTTTGCCGAGATGAGAGACTGGTCAGAAATGGCTAAAAGATAGCGAAAAACAATGGAAAAAAAAGAACAATCACACGTCTGGACCACTCTCCTATTTTAAGACGAGGACAACGACAGTAATGATCTGTTGGTTAAACATGGAGCTCTATGATAAACAGGCTTCACGTTCGGTCTTTTCATTAGATCCACACACTCAAAAAAAAAATCACTGCTCTCTCATTGGCCAAAACCACTTTAACTGCCAAGTATAATAAAAACACAGAAGTTTGTCTGTCTGTCTTTCCGTCTGTCTGTCTCTTTCTGTCTCTGTCCGTCCGTCTGTCTGTGTTTCCTGTTACTGCAAACGTCTGTTAATGCCAAACTCAGATTTACACAGTAGCTACAGAAAGTTGAGACATCTCTGTTTAATTATAAGGTGATCACGTCCAGATAGTTTGTTCCATCTCTCAGCCTAAATCTATGTAGTGGAGATACAAAAACATTTTTTAGCAAAATTATTCACAAACTTATGTAATTATTCTTAATAAAAAAAAATATATATAAACTCTTTAAACTCTATCTCTTCTAAGTTTGTTCTGTTCTTTTTAGTATAAGTCAGTCTGTGTAAATAAATCGATTAAGGTTTTGGCACCGACTCGTTGGTTCTAAAACTTTTATTTTCTTCTGCTTTAGTCATTCTTTTGTTATGGTGAATAAATTAAAGTTTTATTTTGTTTTTGTATTTTTGTTATAGTCAACCAAATTTTCAGCTTTCAAATAAATGTTAAAAAGTTGAGGAAACATGAAGTTGAAAAGAACAGAATCAACAACATGTCTGTCACCACTGTGACATGTATCATTGGGAATCAGACTAAAATGTTCTCCTGGTCTGCAGTCTTTGGTCACTCAGACATTTTTTTACCAACTGATTTCCACACTTTGTGTCAGTTTTCTTTTGGTCATACTTGGATGTTGAATAAGCAAAAAGTACTGTACTGAAAATTATTGATTGATTGGTTGATTGATTTTGCAGTGGGCTTCTTTAGTCACACTGACCCATCTGTGTGTTCTTAGATGTCTGTGTGTTTTTTTTTTCTGAAAGCAGCCTCATTTTAATATCTAGTATTTAGTGACTTTATATTTTATGAAAATATTGAGGTCATTAACAAAATCTGTCCGTTTACTGTGTTTGGAGACTTTTTATTTCCACGTTCTCTCCACGCAGCACTGCTGAACAGCTGGAGAAGGAGGTCTCTCACACTAATCTGGAGAATTCATTGCTTTTCTGTAACATTGTTGCCTGTAATGGGACTGCAATTATTAGAAGCAGACCTGGGGGTAGTGTGTGAATCGTCAGTTTACTACGCTGGTGGTCTGACATGAAACCCACTCTGGCTCTCTATTGTTGTTCCACTTGTCCAACCCAATTTGTGTCCCTTATATTCTGGAGAATAGCGGGAGTTGCAGCCATGGCCTCCAGCGCCGTCCAGAGTCTTAACTCTGTCAGATTGGTCTTCTCGCCTGGACGTCTGCTTCACTTTTGTTTAGTTTATTAGGAATCCACCATTAGTTTCTGCATTGCAGCAAATTCTTTCCTGAGGTCCTTGAAAAATCTACAAATTTGTCCTAATATACAAAGAAAAAAGATAAGGCTGCACACACATACACAGTCCTGGAGATAAGTCACATACTGTAAAACACTGCTGTAATTACTCTGCTAATTTCACTAATTACAATCCTGTGATGAATGTTCCAGATAGAAACATTTCCAAAAACCCACCAGAGGAAATGTTCCGTTTGAACAGCCCTTTGGATCGTATGTGAGTTTTAGTTGTCATCTTAGAATCTGCTCTGTACTCAAGCTGATGTTTATTTGACTTTGTGAGTTCCCGGGGCCAAATGTGGCCCTGGGGCAGAAGCTTTTGTGGAAAGTCAAAAATCAATTTCTTGGCATTTTGGATTACTGTAGGAGTGAATTTGTCATACGTTGAACCCGTTGTTTGGTCTGGTATGTTTGTGCCGTCAACAAACTTGGGAGCAAACTTTACTGCTTTTGCTGTATTCTCAATTTAATCTTTTTCAGCCAGCTAGTTTTTAGTACAGTCTTTTTTTATATAATTGATCAATTCTGTTCTGTTTAAAGTATCCTTAATCTTTTTTTTGGCTGTTGACTTTAAGCTTTATTGCAGTTTATTATTCAGATTTTTATTCCCGGAAGATTTTTAGTTAGCACGACTGCATTTCCTGCAATAACTATTATATATAATTATTTTGGCTAATTGTTAGCTGTTTGCTAATATGTTATCTAACGTACCCAAACCGAGGTACTTCTAGATTGACATTAATCCTAATTATTACATTTTTTGGCTTAGTCTATCTTTTATGCCTAACTTGAGTCTTTTCTAGCAATAAAGTCTGGCTGTGCTCAGTTAGCTCATATTATTTAACTTTAGCTTCAATAGCTACATAAGGGTATAACTTTTTTTTTATTTAGCCATTGCAGGTTTCTCAAAAAAAAAAAAAAAAACATTGGCCCCTTTAACTAAGCCTTATGTCATGTCTGTCTGCCTCCCTGCTCTTCTGTCCGTCTCTCCCTGGGTAATTAGTCTCACCTGGTGCCCTGGGTATATATACCCCTCTCCCCCTCTCTGTCCTTGTTGGGTCCTTGTTGTTTGTTGCTGGAGACTTCTGTCAGCTCTCTTTTTCTGATCTGTGATTCTTCCATGACCAGAACTCGGTCCTGCCTGTTTGTCCTTCCTGTCTGTTTCTGTCCTCCCTGGTCCGTGTTCTCTGTTCTAGGCACAGCTCTTCCTGCTCCTGTTTTGGACTTGTTAAAATAAAGAACTGAACTTTGATTCCTGTATTTGGCCTGCATCCCAATCGTGGTGCCTTGGATTTATTGATAGATGGATGGATGGATGGATGGGTCTCTATCCAGTTTGCTGTTTTTAATCAATTCACCTGACATCTTTTTTTTTCCATTTCACTTCTCTACACTTTGCTGTATTTTGTAAAACACAGCAAAGCAGGTTTCTCCTGAAGCAGTGGCAGTAAATCTAGCCGTGCCGGTTGGAGCTTTTATCAGTGAGTCCTCAGCAGATATGAAACACTCTGATGTGCAGTTCCACAAAGCTGCCTCACAGTAAAAGCTTTTGCCAGTAATTACTGTGTCACTGAGACTTTTGAATTTCTTCCAGCTGATGGATAAATAACTTCCATTTGAAATTTCATTTGTTTTCTCTCAAATGAAAATGTCTGCTGCCTAGTTCTTCAAGGACTGTCTTTGGTAAATGCCACAAACTTTCCTTACACGAGTGTGTGAGTGTATCATCCACCCTGGTGTGTGATTAAGTAGTTTTGGACGGCGTCGCCAGAATGTCTGAGTGAGGTTGAAGAGGTTAATGAGCTTCACCGCTTTACCAGCAAACTATTAATGTGTTTGTGGGACTAATTGGGCATGAAAGTAAACGCGTGTATTTATATGTGTTCACGGCATTGATATTTCATTTGGACCTACTTTCGCTTGATTGGAGAAGCTAATGTATTCTCTCGTTCCACTGTCTTTACATGACAATAAATAGTAACCCGATGTCACAGATTTTGTAAAGTCTTTATAAAGTTTCATTGAGTATGATTTGATGTATTCATATTTCAGTCTAGAGGGATTTGGTTGCTGTAAGGCAGCTGCTAAAATGTCATAATAAATACCTCACATGAGGCAAATAATAGTACTGATGCCTCTTATGTCTTAGAACATACCAGATTAGTGTTCACCTCCCACTGCTGAATACAGGACATTTGTGTCCATTCAAGCATGTCATACAGCTAGGTTATATGATGTTCCACTTGTGTGTAGTATCTGTCAGTTGCAGTATTTCCTTCCTGCAAATGCAAACCAGAAACTGACTTTTTTCATTGGATCTTGACAATAAAAGGCATTATTTGTGGAGGAAACGCAACATGATTTCAAAGTAGCCACAGGCAACGCGATGTCTCAGTGCATTTAGCAAAAACAAAATAATAATATGTGGATGTTTTGGCTTAATTTGATCATGTGGTTCATTGCTTTTTTTTATCTGCACAAGTGCAGAAAAAAGTGTGAAAATAAAACATTGTCCATCTCTGTTCTACAGCCTACAGCAGAGATGTATAAACAGCAAGTACAAAATTGTCTCATTCTTAAATGACCAACTGAAGCATTTAATTAATTATATATATATATATTAATAATAGAAAAAAAAATCACCACAAGTGCAACATTCAGTTATTAGTGTCATCCAGTCTTTGCGGGCCGTATATGGCCCCGAGACCGGGAGTTTGAGACTCAAGTTAAACTTGATAGATCTATTCAGAATCAGACAATCATGTGTCCAGAAGAACAGGTGCTTTTAGATCATTCCTGTCCAGACTTGTGTGCATGCATGAACTGGTCTGTACAACTGGAGTTGAAACAGACATAAAAATATAGAAACCCAACAGACTCATTAAAATTCACCTGTTTTCCCTGGGAGCTGACTTGTGGTTGTGTTTTATGTCATATCAGAAATTCTAACACTCAAAGGTAAAGTTCACATTTGGCTGGAAACAGAACATTAATTTTATATCAACACAAAGAATGAATTTTTTATGTGTTCTTATTTTTGCTGAAGCCATTCTTCATGTATTTTGTATTTGTGCTCTGACGTGAACTTGTAAATGAAGTCTCCTTCTAGACATAAATCCATGTGACTTTCTTTATCTGTGTAGTTGACGTTGGACAGGTGTGTGTCAGTACGGTACATACCCTCTGCACTAAGGCAAAGGTACTGTTTCTCCCACTTTGACATTTTTACTGTGTTGATTTAGAACGATCACATTTTACAAAAACCTGAAAATATCCCTCACCATGCTTATCTTCTGTTTTTAAGCAATAAGAATGTGCAGACGTTGTCGTTTGTGTCTTTTTGACCTCCCACAAATACTTAAAATGATTGTATTTTAACAGCAAGAATGTTTGTAGCAGAGATCAGCAGGCAGCAGGTTGTTTACTTGTTATGGTTGTTATGGTGACAGATGTCCCTGTGTGTCTTTGACCGTGGTTGGACCTCTGTGATGAGGTCCTTTGCATGTGGGCAGCTTATAATAGAGATTAAACTGGATTGGACGACACTCCAAATGGACTTTGAATCCATTCCTAGGTTAATAAACAACATTTGGACATGTTTTGAGGTTACATGTCAACATTGCTGAGCACACATGGATGTAGTACATCTGAAGGACACACTGGACCCCAGCCGCTCAGCTTTCTTTGACATTGTCACTGCAGTTTTACTTATTTACACTAATCAGTTGTAGCTGTTGTAACAATGTCAACACTTCAGGTTCAGGTCAATACTGGATAAGAGTGCAAAAAGTGCAAACAAAACACTGAAGTCAGAGTCTGAGTCATAGTTTGGGTGATGAGTTAAGTCCAGAAGGTTTGAAAAAATGTTTTTTTTTTTCTATACAACTTACAACTTTAAATAATGTTGTTTTCACCTTCAGTTCTATTACAGAGGTTTTGTCAACCTTTTTTTTGTCTATTTCCTTTAGTTATTGTTGAAGCATTTGTTGGCTAATTGTTAGATTTTTTGTTAGATCTTTACAGTTTTAGGCAAAGCAGAGGTACTACACCACTGGGTTGTTTTTAACTAACTGATTGATTGCGGGAAACATAGACTGGCCTCATATATCAACGTAGGGGCTGCTATTGTATTTTGCGTGGTGTGTTTGTGTGTGTGTGCTTTTGTACATTGTCTTTCTCTTATATTGTGATCAGTTGTAAAGGGACAACCTGTGCTGCAGTGTTTCAGTGTTGGTTATACTTGGAAAGACAATTATTTTTCCTGTAGCGTTGCTTGGTAACTACTGATGCAACTATTAATAAAAGCCCTTCACTGTACCATAATTACTCCTTAGTCAGCCTTCTGCCCACATCGACTGAAAACCTGACCTTTTTCACCACTTAGACGGAAAATGAAGAACATAATGATGAGAAGTAAGACGTCCTCAAGAAACTGAAGTATTTCTAAGCTCCTGACTGTATACAGTCTACATCATAGTTGTGCTGTTGGATCAGCCAGGACACAGTTTAGTGCCAAATCTTAACAGGACCTTTACGGTCCGGTCCATTTACCTGCTCTAAATCACACAGAAGTCTGTTTTATAAGGAGCGAAGTCTGTTCTGGTAGACTTTACTTGAATTGGTTCTGCATAAAGTCAGACTGTAAAAACACTTATGTGGACTATGTTAAAAAAATTGTCTAAAAACTGTCAAAGAACCAGATTCTGAGACGAAGTCCTCCGTTCCTTTGTTTCAAACCCTGATGCTCCTCATCCTGCTCCTCCTTGGAACATAAAGGGAAGTTGTACTGTAGGGGTCTGTTGCTGAACCCAATCTGTCAAGCAAACCAGAACATGACATTTCTGAAGTGGGGATGAAAACCACAGAAATGTGCCTCGGAGTTTGACTGCAGCTACTGTTGCTGATGCATTTTGTTTCATCACCCCAGCCTCAAAGTACAGCACAGCCAAATCTGAGGACATGTTTGTGGCAGCATCACAGTTGGAGTCGTGAGATCTATTTGTGATGAGCAGATAGGTGCGGCACGTGTGATATGCTAATGCCTTGTGCATCCTTTATTAGACTCCGCTGTTGCTGTGTGACTGGTTTTTATCAGAAAATTGGATGTTTGTGTGCCGGGAAGAGGAGAAGAAAAAAAAAAAAAAGATCATGTACAGGTTTGTATGTTCACGTGGACACACTGTGAAGACAGAAATAAAACTTCAACCAGATGGTGTGGAGTTGGTTCCTTTGGAGTAAATGCTGTAGCATCCCCTAGGCTGTATCACACTCTCTGCCGCTTCTTTTTAAGCCCTTCTCTAAAAATAAATAGCAAAGTTTGACTGAATGTGAAAAAAATAGGCAAACGAGTAAAGAGTTCAGCAAACTTGTGTTGTTCTTTGTCATTTAGCCACGTCTGACAGCAGTTTAATCAATTTGCCAAAAGGGTTTCAAGCAGGAATCCTATTACCCCAACAAAACACCATGAGTCCTCTGAAGGCAAACTGAAAGTTTATTGCGTGCTGCGAAGTGAAATTGATCTAACAAAGTTGGCTACGAACTTAGCTGTTCAGTGATGACATTTACTGAGTCGTGGGTCCGTCGCACGGTCAAATGAAATGTTCTGTTATTGTTGTTATTATTTCTGTTATATTTCTTCTCATGCTTTTGGTATTTGGCCTACAATGGTTCCGTGCTGTAAGGGCAGGACCCTTATATATTCATATAAAGTCTTAAACAAGTCCAAAATTATTTTCCTGTGGTTAAGTCAAAGTAACCTGCTTTATTCAGTTGTACTTGTTGAATCTGTTTTGTTTTTTTTTAAGATGGGAGATAAATGACTGTCGAATAATGTTGTTGCCAATTTTTTCCTGTTTGAAAGTAGGAACACTTTTTGGATTTGCATTTACATTATTGGCGTTCAGTAAACACACAGATTCTAACAACACGTGAATAACTTCATGTTATTGGTTTTGAAAAAGAATGTAAAAAAAACTGACACAAAGGCATAATTATTTTCCATTGAAGAGGACTTAATAGAAGTAATATATTTTAGGTACTGTAGTACTTAGTTTAAGGCTGACAGAAAAATATACCTCTTACAACTTTGTATTTAATAGAGATGACTTCAAGCTAACTTGCTATCAGCAAAACAATACACAAAGTACTGGGTTATAATCATGGAGCACTGACGAGGGTCGTCCTGTATTCATAATAGTTTGTAAAAAGATTTAGGACGTGACGCTAACACACCGACACGTGTGAAAAATGTCAGAATCTTCTTGTCAGTGACCTACAGTTATTGTTTCAAGGTCGTGACCAGAGATAGTCCCCCTCTCAGCAGCGCATGAGAACAGTATTTTCCTGTCAAGTGTGTGTGAAATGCTCTGTCTACTGACTTTGGTGCACTGGGTTATGTTCATTTAAACGTTTCATGGTTCTGTTTGCTATCCCCACTGTGTTCCCCCTCTTTTTATTTTCACTTTTATTGCAAGCGTTGTGAAAAAGCACATGTTTTTTTATCTGCCTGCGTTTTCTCAATCCAAACTGAATTATTCAGCCCTCGCATGCAGCCACTTTTTGACATTTAAGATTTATGGCCCGTATGGGTTTTTTGGGCAACGAATGCAGTTCGATATCCTCAGTCGGCATGACGATGAATCCAAATATCACTGTTTGCCCTAGCTGCTGCTCCACTATTGATTCGGTAGCACTGTAAACCTTGACTAATGTCTTCACCCAGCATGTTAGCAGGTAGCCATCCTCTGCAGCTCTAGACATGCACCATTGCTCTTTGTTGTGCGTAATTTCCGCACCACTTCAACCATCTGAGGACCTTTCTTTCTCATCACTTCTGGCCAGAGATCCAAGTAAAGGCTTTCTGCTTCCTCCTGCCTCCACTCCACAGCCTGTCAACTTAGATAAGACAAATTGCCGGTGTCTGTACTGCAGTCATGTCCTGCTGCCCCTCTCTCTTTTCCTCATTACCTGTGGATATGCCTTCCCTTCAATCTGCAGCTTGTTTCTGGACAGTGTAACACAAATGATCTGTAATGGACATACAGTAACCTAAGGTCAGAACCATAGTATCTCAGCATGTTTTCTGTACTGCTGGTATGTTGCTGCATTTAAAGGAGCATATATCCTGTGCATTAGCCGCTAACTCGGCAGATCAGTCAGTACGTACAGTACATGAAAAGTCTCGATCTGTAGCTGAACTCTGCTGTTTGATTTCACTGCTGCACTTGTTCAAGTTAACAAGCTCAGAATGGCAATGGATTTGCTCACAGATGTACATCAATTTCCTCTGCAGTACATGGTGAAAAGCCTCCCTTAGCATGTTAGTAAATGGCCTTCACTTATTGATGCATTGACTGTTGGCAAGTTAGTTTGCCATAGTTTGTGCAGATGTGTCATACTCTCTAAAATGGGCTTGGAAACTGGTCTGGGAATCAGATCTGTGATGATTGATGATGACTAAATAACCTGCATACCTCTATCAAAAGTTTTGTTTTTGTTTTTTCATCATTATCTTTATTTTTTTAAGATCTCACCCATTGTCTAGGAAGATGGTTACCACATTTTGGGGATCAAGTCCATGGCCCTTGACCACAAATAGGGGTAGACCTACTCTGGACTCAGTTTGCTGTCTGCTGTTAGATGTTACAACCACTGTTAACTTGCATCAGACTTTCAGCCAGAGTCATATCCACTCATGAAGAAGCTTATCTAAATCCACGATCCTTATCTCTCCTGGGAGTTTTTAATTGCAGGATTTTGTGTTCTTCATGGAGCCTTTGACACGTTAGGGAATTATCTTATTTAGTTTGACGATTATTCAGGCTAACAGTA